TTTGGCGGAATTTGTATTTTAATAAGTTGTAGTGTAGGTATTCACAACCTGTATTCAATTTGTTTGTATCCTTAGATAAAAGAGACCAGAGATATAACATACACTGGTGATTAACCTGCGCAAATGTTGCCAATTTCTAAAGAAAGGTTAACGGAGTGGGGAAACTGGGCGAACACCCGAACTCTGTGACAGGGACGAACTTTGTTTATTAGCATCCTAATGAACTATTAAATTTACTTAAAAGATGATTAATAGAATTTTGTGTTATGAAATAAAATTAACGTGATTTTTTAATATCAAACAGATGCTACGACATTTTACGCAAAGACCTTTTATAGAATATTTCGTTAGCGTTTATTTACTACGGACTTTTCTGCAAGAGACTACAGTAAAATTTTGAAATAAAATATTGTTAATCGAGTAAGAAATGGTACTCATTGTCTACGAGTATTACAAAAAAAAGCATGTGCACAGGTGAATACTGCAATTCAAGCCTTGTGAGTTGAACAATATATTTTTCTACGGCTATTACATAGATATTAAAAATTAGTCAAAATGAGAAAATGCTGTTTTGTATTGTAACCTAATAAAAAGGTATATTAAAGCTTCTTTCTTTAGGAATATAGAGGATGAGTCACATAAAACTCTAGAAATGCATATGTCTGAAACCAGATAACATTTTAAAATTTAAACCTATTAAAAGTCATTTGGTCGCTATGGATGGGTGATTATCGAATTGAAAATAATCGATTATTTTCGATCAATCGATCATTTTCAATCTATTTTTTTCGCATTTCCTTTAGATTTTTGATTAACTTTGAAAAACCAAAAATAATCGATTAATTTAAAAGCCAAATAATAGGCAATAAAAAAGATATAGAGCTTATATTTAAAAATCAAAAATATAAATATTAGGTATATTATAAAAATATTTATGATATCTATTAACACACGTGTACGAGAATTAGAATAAATAAATTATTTCCAATAATTTATTAAACATAAAAATATTGTTCGTAAACAATGTTCAATAGATTACTAAACGATATACTACAAATATAAATCAAGCTAATACTTAGGTACATTTGTACTGCCAGTCGTTAACAAATAAGTGTAGCTTCATTTTTATCGGTAAACTATCTTAAGCTTCGATTATTTCTTAATGACTAGGAGTACAAATAAAAGAAGCCTAAAATTACTTTTTTAATGAAAAAATCACATTAGGCTTTGCTTATTTCTTAACGACTTGCAGTCTACTTAATTAAAGAACATAGGTATTGTGATGTTTCTTTATTTTTAAACTCGACAGTTGCGGCCTCTTGATTTGGAATGGCATAGACTTTCACCCATTTTGTAAAATAGTCCATAACCACCAAAATGTATTTATTACCATCCTCGGTCGCGGGAAATGGTCCAGCAATATCTAAGGCGATCCTCTCAAATGGGCTACCAACGTTATATTGCTTCATGGGACCCTTCCTTTTTCGTTGAGGTCCATTACTCATAGTACAGGTGGTACATTTCTTACACCAGTCCTTTACGTCATCGGAACTGT